GATAAAGTGAGACACTTGTCTCTAAAAAAAAAAAAAAAGAAGAAGAAAAGGAAGGAAAACACTGTGAAAGATACAAAATTTATTACAGGATGCCCAGTGGCATGCTAGAGTCGACCATCTCTGCCTCCTGCATCAAACCAAAATTGTTGTCACGATACTAAGCTAGGTGTGCAGACTGGGGTTTGAGACTCACATTTTTCTAATTGACAGGCAATTCAATTAGGTAAATATTTTTGAAGATGAGGCTTGGGCTTCTCCCTCCCCTTCTTCTTTCTTTTTTTTTTGGTTCCAAAAGACATTTACTGGATGTCTTCTCCAGGGTGGGGATGCAGGCCCATGTGCTGTGGTGAGGCATTGCTCCCAGCTTCTTGACACCTCAGTTTATAGAACCCTAAAATCACAGTGACTGCTCATGGTGAACACAGCAGGAGGGGTGGAATGGTGAGGGAGGCCTCCCGCGTTCACTTCTCCAGAGGCGCATAGTTGAGTAGCTCCTTGATCAGGTCAGGTCGACATGGGCTAGCAGCATGCGGCGGCAGCAGTAGCGCTTCAAGCCCAGGGCATCCAGGGCGTCCCCTCGGTGTACTTGGCCTGCAGCAGTCCCAGGTAGGCCTCCCACTTGTTGCCAATGATCTTGCCGCAGGTGAAACAGCGAACAGGGATAATCATGGCTGCGGCTCGGAAGCTCGTCTCACACTTCCCTTCGTATTTCTTTAACTAGACTCTGGTACTTGCTCAGTTGCCCAGTGTGGTGTGGGACTCCAGGCCTGAAGTGATCCTCCAGTCTTGTCCACCTGAGTCACTGTGAGTATAAATGTGAGGCACTGTGCCCAGTTCTGAATCTTAGAAAAAACAAAGGCACAAAAAGCACTGACATCTTGGACCTATTTGATCCAAATACTGCATGTTCTCAACATTATAGCAACTTATTGAAGAAAACATTCTTAGTAAAGACATTTGCATGGAAAACGTAGACATATTACTGTATCTCCTTTCTCTGTCTCAAACTTCTTATGTAGCTCCTAATGCTCTGTGATGTCTGAAACTTTTAATCATTACTTCGAAAAGAGAAGTTGAAAGCATTATAGAAAAATAATCCTATGAAAGAAGTCGTTGATTTACAAAATTCTGAAGCAATATTACAATTTTGTTTTTGACATGTATGCAAAATCATTGATCCCCCTCCCTTCCAGAGGAGCAGGTTAAATCCCTCACTGTGAGTGTGGCCTGGACTTAATGGTTCACTCGTAACTGATAGAGCAATGAGGATGGAATAGTTTGTGACTCTGGGTGAAGGACATAAAACTCAGTGTGGCTTCCACCTTGGTTCTCCCTCTCTCTTGGATCACAGCCAACTGCCGTGTCATCAGGAACCGTGAGGAAAAGTCCATGTGCTAGAAACTGAGGCCTCCTGGGACCAGCCAACAAGGAAGTGAGGTCTCTTCAACAGCCCTATGAATGAGCCATATTTCATGCAATCTCCAACCTCAGTCAAGCCCTCAGATGATACAGCCCTGGCTGACAGCTGGACGGTAACTTTGAGAGAGGCCCAGAATTAGAAGAACTTAGGAATAAAATCTCTTGGATTTCTGAGTATCAGAAACTATGGGAAAAAAATAAATATTTGCTTTTAGAGATGCTAAGTTTTAGGTAACTTGCTACACAGCAGTAGATAACTAATACAACTTCCAGAGACAGGATGAATTTTTTAAATTTCAGATTAATATGAGGGAACAACAATTATGGTACAATTTATGCATTCCCTGTTCTAGCTGTGCCGCTCACCAGGGGATGTGACACATACCCTTACATTGTGCCCATTAGGGGAGAACCCACCAGTACCCTTCCATCCTTCCTTATACCCCTTTTTTCTTCCCCCATCCTCCAACTTGAATTAAATGAAATTTTTCTGTGGGGGATTGTGGGGACTGTGTGGGGATTACTTCTCTATTGCCTTTGTATTAGTATTGATACACTAGATACTGGATTTTCTATTCTTATGATACTTTCACTCTATCCAGGTTAATGCAAAAGATGTAAAGTCTCCATCTTTTTTATGGATGAATAGTATTCCATGGTATACATATGCCACAGTTTATTAATCTATTCATGTGTTCATGGGTGCTTAGGTTGATTCCACATCTTGGCAACTGTGAATTGAGCTGTGACAAACAATTTAGTGCAAATGTCTTTATGATAAAATTGTATTTTTCTTCTGGGTGACTCCTCCTAGTAATAGGATTGAGTGATGAAATGGAAGGTCTATTTTGAGTTCTTTGAGGAGGATTCCCCATGCTTCCTTCCAAAGCACCTGTATTTGGAAGTGCAAGGTGTTTGCAGTCCCACCAACAGTGTGAAAGTGTTCCCTTCTCTCCAGAACCATGCTAGCATCTGCGGCCGCGGGCGCCGTGGATAGAGCGGGAGGGGCCGGAGTATTGGGACGAGCAGACACGGCGCGTCAAGGGCGCTGCACAGACTTTCCGAATTGGCCTGGGGACCCTCCTAGGCTACTACAACCAGAGCGAGGACAGTGAGCGACCCCGGCCCGGTCACAGGTCACGACCCCTCCCTGCCCCACAAACTTTGTGTGGTCTATTCTCAGTGAGGTTAGGTGATATGTCAGGCTGGTTTTGATTTGCATTTCTCTGATGATTGGGGATGATGAGCATATTTTCATGTATTTGTTAGCCATTCCACTGTTGAGAATAAATTACTGCACTTTAATTTTCATATATTAATTATAAGATATTAAACATGTCATTTGGTTGTAGGATGTAAGAAGAATTTCCATGGCTAAAAAGGTTGTATTGTATCATCACTCTCAACCACTTACTCATTTGAACTTCTATTTTCAACTCTGATCCATTAAAGAGAAAGGGAAGATCTAGGTTACGCTAGGCTGACTATGATGTCCCCCAATAAGTATGCCTTCATTATGCACCTTCCCTCAGGTATTCAATCAACATTAATGGAGATGCTGCTGTGAAGGAATTTACAGATATAATTACAGTCCCAAATCAGTTGACTTTCAGATGGTGATTATCCAGGGATTGAACTGTCCTAATCACGTGAGTTTTTAAAAGACTGGGTTCTTCTGGAGCATGAGATTCACAGGCAGAGAAGGACTCAGTGTGAGTCTTCGGGCTTTGAAAGTAGAGAGTTCCTACAGCAAAGAATGCCAGTGGCAGCCCACCTGCCTCTCTACCCTGATAGCTGGCAATCAAACAAGGACTTCAGTCCTACAATTGCCAGAAAGTGAATTCTACCCATGGGCTCTGTATAAGCTTAGGGGAGGACCCCACCTCAAGATGAGGGCACAGCTTTGTGAAACCCTGAACAGAGAACCCATCCACACCATGCCTGGATTTCTAAGGACCAATAAACAAATAAATGGCCATTCTTTAGAGACAACAAATTTGTGGTAATTTGGTATACAGAAATAGAAAATTAATACACAAGCTCAAGAGATAAGCACATAATGTGTTTTTCACTGAAATGAATTTATGAACTGATATTCATTTCCTTGCATGAAATAAAATCTTGCTTAACTATTTTAGTATGTTTTAGTTTATGATTTTTAGGTGATTCAGTTTTACTCCAACCATATTCATTCATTCAATAAGAATTAATTTAGTCCTATTATGTACCAGGAATGCCTTTCCAAACTGGGGATACAATTTTGATCAAAATAGCCCAAAGCCCATATGTTCATGCGCCTTATCTTCCCAGGTCTTTACAAGAGTGTGATCCATCCATTGGAGCATTTTAAGTGAAGAAATGATAGAATCTGACTTCAGTAGCAGGACTGATGAAGACTGTGGGGGAGAACAGTTGTGGGCAGCAGGGGAGGGACAAGCTCGTGCCACAGTTCAGGGGTGACAGGTGGTGGGACTAAGGGGAGAAAGGGTCTAAGGGATGAAAGGGACAGAGGGAAGGGCCGGAGAAGCAGTAGGCGAGGAACAATATCAGAGGGAAAGAATTGTAAAGCAGCTGAATTCTCGGATTTAAATACAGTGTTTTATAGATTTTTAATACAGAGCCCAGCAGGGTGCTCTTTGCATTTGGTAATTAATACACTTGCAGAAGCTAATTTCCTCCTAATATTAATCAGGTTGAAAATACAAAGTGTCCCCTTAAAGATATACACACAGCTTAGATGTGAATAATTCATAGAGACAGGCAATGCCTGAGCAGTGGTGAAAGCACTTTGAGCACGTGCAGCTTTGAAGTGGTTAAGGTTCTACAACTCCTGGTTGAAATACACAGTCACAAATTGTGCTTCTTTGTATGAGGAAATGTCCTGCACTCTCAAGTATAGACTAAGGGATGTGGAATGAAGATAGATTTAAATACAACAACTCAGAATCCAAGTTACATAGTCCAGGAAAGTAAAACCTGGGAGCTTTGGGAGTCTAGCTGTAGTGAGTTTAGACACCTTGCTCTATCAAGGGGCCACAATCACTTCTGTTACAGATTAGATTCCTGATCACTGAGGTGTTACCAAGATTGTGCTGCACACTAGTTAATAAGGAAGAAGGAAACTGGTCTCCCCGAGAGTTTCCGTCAGGTGTGTTTAGACACAACTCCAGGTTTATAGAGAAAACCACCATCTCTGCACCTCCAAGAGAGGGAGCTTACTCTGGCATCAAGTTCCCCGAGGATGAGTTTCGTTTAGAAGAATCGAGACGGGGAGGAAAGAGTAGGAGGCAGAGTCCAGTTCAGGGAGAGGATTCAGGAAAGGGGCTGGACCCAGACCGGGGGTCAGTCCTGGGCCAGGCTCAGGAGACAGTGTGACAAACACTCCGTGGTGCAGGAGAAGCAGGGTCAGGGCAAAGCCCCAGGTTCTGGGCGTGGCTTTCAGGGTCTCAGGCCTGAGAGCGGTGTCGGGGCGGGGAAGCTCAGTGCTGGGGATTCCCCGTCTCCTCAAAGTTTCGTCTCTTCCTCCGCCAACCCTGCTCCGGTCCTTCTTCCTGGATACCGCTGACGTGCACCAGCTCTCACTCCCATTGGGTGTGGGTTTCTAGAGAAGCCAATCAGCGTCGCCGCGGTTCCCGGTTATTAAGTCTCCTCAGAGCTACCCGGACTCAGCTTCTCCTCAGACTCTGAGGATGGGGGTCACGGCGCCCCGAACCCTCCTCCTGCTGCTGTCGGCGGCCCTGGTCCTGACCGAGAGCTGGGCGGGTGAGTGCGGGGTCGGGAGGCCAACGGCCTCTGCGGGGAGGGCGAGGGGACCACCCGGCGGGGATGCAGGTCCGGGGAGCCGCGTCGGGAGAAGGTCGCGCCGGGTCTCAGCCCCTCCCGCCCCCAGGCTCCCACTCCATGACGTATTTCTACACCGCCGTGTCCCGGCCCGGGCGCGGGGAGCCCCGGTTCATCGCCGTCGGCTACGTGGACGACACGCAGTTCGTGCGGTTCGACAGCGACGCGGGGAATCCGAGGATGGAGCCGCGGGCGCCGTGGGTAGAGCGGGAGGGGCCGGAGTACTGGGAGGAGCAGACACGGCGCGCCAAGGAGACAGCACAGACTTTCCGAGTGAACCTGAGGACTCTCCGCGGCTACTACAACCAGAGCGAGGACGGTGAGCGACCCCAGGCCGGTCACAGGTCACGACCCCTCCCCGCCCCACAGTCAACCCCGAGTCGCCGGATTTGTAGGGTCCGAGGGTCACCCCGAGGCTGCGGGACCCCTGAGACCTTCGACCTGGGAAGGGCCCGCGGGGACTTTCACCCGGTTTCGTTTTCAGTTTAGGACAAAATCCCGGCGGGTTGGTCGGGGCGGGGCGGGGCCGGTGGGCGCGGCTGACCGCGGGGACGGGGACAGGGTCACACAGCATCCAGACGATGTACGGCTGCGACGTGGGGCCGGACGGGCGCCTCCTCCGCGGGTACATGCAGTTCGCCTACGACGGCGCCGACTACATCGCCCTGAACGAGGACCTGCGCTCCTGGACCGCGGCGGACCCGGCGGCTCAGAACACCCAGCGCAAGTGGGAGGCGGCCGGTGAGGCGGAGGGACACAGGGCCTACCTGGAGGGCACGTGCGTGGAGTGGCTCCGCAGATACCTGGAGAACGGGAAGGACACGCTGCAGCGCGCGGGTACGAGGGGCGCCTCCACATTTCCTGGAGATTCCCTGCTCCCCGTGTCCAAGGACGGGAGGAAAACGGCCCCAACGCTAGAATATCGCCCTCCCTCTGGTCCAGAGCAGGCAGACGCCCCCTGAGTGTCCAGATAATGTACCAGAGAGTGACTCTGAGGGCCCAGCCTTCCCTTTGGGATAGTTAAGGGATGAAGTCTCCAGGGAACAGAGGAACAGACAGTCCCTTGCTGTTTCCTGTGACCCTGAAGCAGCCTTGGGCACCATGACCTTTTTCCTCAGACCTTGCTCTCTGCCTCAGTCTGTGTGTTTGGAGGTCTGATTCCAGCCCTTCTGGGTCACTCAGTCTTCACTCAGGTCAGGACCAGAAGTCCCTGTTTCTCTTAGAGACCGGAAGTTTCAAGGAACAGGAGATCATCCCAGACCCTTGTGCCCAGGCTGGCGTCTGGGTTTTGCACTCTTTTCCCCACCACATTTGTTCTGTCCATTCTCAGGATGTCACATGAGTGCTGCTGGAGTGTCCTACAAGGGATGCAAAGTGCCTGAATTTTCTGACTCTTCCCCTCAGATCCCCCAGAGGCACGTGTGACCCACCACTCTACCTCTGACCGTGAGGCCACCCTGAGGTGCTGGGCCCAGGGCTTCTACCCTGCAGAGATTACACTGACTTGGCAGCGGGATGAGGAGGATCAGACTCAGGACATGGAGCTTATAGAGACCAGGCCTGCAGGAGATGGAACCTTCCAGAAGTGGGCAGCTATGGTGGTGCCTTCTGGAGAAGAGCAGAGATACACATGCCGTGTGCAGCATGAGGGGCTGCCAGAGCCCCTCTCCGTGAGATGGGGTAAGAGGGGGGATAGGGGGATCATGATTCTTCTGAGGGAAAGCAGGGGTGTTTCTGGAGCTCTTTAGCAGTGTCAGGGCTGAGGCCTGGGGTCAGGCCCCTGACCTTCCTGTCCTTTCTCAGAGCCGTCTTCCCAGCCCATCATCCTCATGCTGGGCATTGTTGCTGGCCTGGTTCTTCTTCTAACTGTGCTGATTGGAGCTGTGGTTGTGATGTGGAGGAGGAAGATCTCAGGTAGGGAAGGGGTGAGGGGAAGGGTTTTCATTTTCTTGTCCCACTTGGGTTTTAACCCCAGGTAGCATGGTGCCCTGTCCCATTACTGGGAAGTTCCATCCACACACCTGCTTCCCCAACTAGGGCCCTGTGTGCCAACACTTATTGTCTTGTATAGCACATGTGACAGTGAAGGAGAGAGCTTTAACATGATGCTTGTGGTGATGGGGACCTGATCCAGCAGTCACAGGTCAGAGAGGAAGGAACTGTGCTCAGGACAGACCTCCAGGAGGGCAGTTGATCCACACTCTTCCTTTTCCTGTGATTTCTGATCCTCCCCTGGGTCTTCAGTTAGAGTTC